CTATCTATCTATCTATCTATCTATCTATCTATCTATCTATCTATCTATCTATCTATCTATTTATTTATTTATTTATTTATTTATTTATACACACCAATATATGACCTTTAGCTCACCATGAAGCAGAATTCTACGATCTCTATTTTTTATCAACATTAAGAGCATCCCATTCCAAAACAATGAAGAAAATCTAGTTTGTGTTAGTTCATAGAAACTTCTGTTCTGGATCATTATAATCCTCTAGTTTCAAGGTGTCAGAATATTTTCTAAAAAAAAAAAAACTCTTCAGCTGATCCCAAATGCTGTTGCCAAATTTACAAAAAAAACATATTCATATTCATGTATATTAGGTTTATGACCATGCTTCAGGTTATGATGAAGCTTTGGATCAGTGTTTACATTCAGAGGCTTCACACCCTCACGACATCCTATTGTTTTTATCTCTTGTCTCTAAGATTAATAAAAAACCATAATCTATGCAGAAACATCTGCTGATTCTGGTGTTACAGAGGACATTTCAGCGATCCATGATCTTTAACAAAAAGGGTTAAGCTCCATCTGAGCAGACCTCAAAGATCAATTAAAATCAGCTGCAGAGCAAACCTCAAGTCTTTGATTGGTTGTTCTTCAAGTCGTTAACTATTGTCTTCAACATTGTGTGGTCTCTCTGAATCTCACCCTATTTTTAATTTTTCTGAGTTTGTCAAATGTTTGTCTAGCTTATTTTGAAAAATCCAGTGAAGTAAAATGAAAAATAAAATCTAGCAGGAGTTAAGAAGAAGCATGTGTAAGCTCAGAGACAGGTCAGGTTATAGATGCTGCTCCATCCTCAGACTCCTGACTCCATCACTGCAACCTTAAAGAGCTTGGGCGAAACGCTGACTCAATCTCTCATCTTTACTCTTTGGTTTGGACACTAATGCTGCTTTTATTAACTTTGTGTTTTTCTTGTGTTCTGTTGTGTGTCTGTGCCTTTTCACCCCCTTCACTGGTTGAGGCATCCATTGCTCTGTGCATGCTCAGATCAAGGGACAAATTCATGTGATCATTACATCAATTTCTCCTGTTGTGAGCTTTGGTTGAAAAGCAGCATTTATAACACACGTCTTAATGGAGCTATGTAATTTGTGCAGTGATTTTTGAGAAATGGATAAGGTCTCAGTTAAAAATGTTTATCTTTCATCTCGAAAAAGTCCGTCTCCTGCTCAGTCCACTGTCTGTGTGGGGCCCTGAGTTTAATCAGAACACAAAAACAAAGGCTTCTGTCTCCTGCTGYTGGTACGCTAAGTCTACATGTTGTTACAAAACCCAAATATTTAATAGAACACCCTGGTCACACATCAGCACTGTTACAATGGAATGTCAACAAGTCTGTGTTCAACCTGTAGAGACACACAYATTAAGTAGAAACATGCTGATTCTCTTCCTGTTTAAAGTAAATGACTACAATTAATAGAAGACTGTATCAAAAATCACAAAATTTCCTTCAAAGGGATCTGGATATTCAGGAGCTGTTGGTTTCATTGAGCTATTTGATTTTGAACGAGTTATGTCATCACATAGGGAAATAAGTCACATGGGTGGAACCGTGTGTTTTGTCAAGCAGAAACCCCTCCCCCTTTCCCCCTGAGCAGCTCCACCGCTCTGCCTGTTTTCTGTGAAAAAGCAAAGTACAAGTGATTATCCTTGTGGTTACGGAAGAAAAAATAAAGCTATAATGAGAACAGTACAAATGGATCTTTACTGTCTGCGACACGGTTTCTATCGTTCGTTTTAAGGAGACGTTCAAATGATTAGGATCGTTTGCAAAACATCACATCTCTAAGCTAACATTCTGTTTAGCCATGCCCACCACTGACTTCCACAAATCAGTTTGTAACGCAGTTCACTGTGTCATCCAAAAATGCTGGTTAAAGCTCTATCATGCAAAAAAAAAACCACCACATGTGATAGAAACCTGCTGTGCTCTTCACGGTGCAGGCAAATCCCTTTCTTTTTGCTCCTATGTGACCCATGTTGGATGTTTTTAAAGACAAAGCCTCTTCAAAACACCTGGACGATCACTTTAGCAACAGACAGTTGCTAATTTAATGTGACTTAATAAAATAATAATTAAATCTTTATCGGCTGGCAGTTTTTTAGATGGACATTGTTTCCCAACACAACTTTAAAAAACAACTTTAAACACCAACCATAAATACAGCAGGTATATTGACATAAAGAGCAATTACAGGTTTCAAATAGAGAAATTGTTTTAATAAAAAAAATGTAGCATCTTTCATCAGGCTGTAGGTCTCAAATAGACCTGGTCCTGTCGATGTATTGATTCTTCGACATGGGTTTAGATGTGGGTTTGGGAGTTAATGTTTATGCTCACATCAGGTTTTGTTTGCTTTACTCGCTCCCTGCTGCTGCACAGCTCAGTCAGAGCATCTCTTCAACATGACCAGAAGTTCCAGGAGTTTATTGTAGAAACTTTAATTCAACTTCAGCAGAAGGTGGGACAGAGGTTTAGTTGCAGGTAATATGCCAACAAATCTATGAGGCTCACTCCACTCCAGCAGAGCAGCAGGCCGAGTGGGCGGAGTCATGGCTTTATTTCAAATCAAACTCCTCCTTTGCACCAACGTTACAGCAGCTGATTGAAGAGAGAGCTTCAGTGTCTTTCTTCTCAACTCCTGATTTAGTTTACATGTTTTTATGAACTAGCAAGCAGATTGGAACAATAATTTAAGTGTAAAATATAATTAACAAGTGTAAAATATAAATAATTATTACTAAATTACTGTAAACATCAGAAAATATAATTTGTTACTTTCCACCTCTGCCTTAGGAGATGAAAGCCTAACATCACTTTATAATTAAAAATACCCCCACACCAGCTTCATGTGCCTGCTGAACAATAAATTAAATAAAATTAAATAAAATTAATGGTAGTTTTCTAAAATCAAAGTTTTAACAGAGCAGCTGTCTGCAGTGAGTTTGGGGTGAACCAGGCTGTTTTCTGTTATCACAATAAACTGAAATAATATATGGTGCAAGAAAAGTCCAGCAAGAGCTGCTGACAGAAAAGTTTTGCAGTCAAAGTGAAAAGAACAGAGTGGACTGGTGTTAGATGTTTACAACTGCTAGTTAACATTATTTCTTTGTAGATTTATTTAATCGTTTATTTAAAACCCATTAAGATCACAGATCTCTTTTGCAAGACTGACTTGAAAGCAGCCTGTTTACAGGTTTTTGTTCTGTGGGGGAAACTGGACTCCCTGGAGAAAACCCACCCAAGCACGAGGAGAACATGAAAACTCGCTCAGTCAGGATCAAACCCTGGACCTTCTTGCTGTGAAGCATCATTGGTAACCACTGATCCACCGTGCTATACTGAACTGAAGCTGCTTTATCGATTACTTCTGGTTCAGTTAGTTTTACACCCCCCCCCCCCCCCCGCATTGTGTGTGTGTGTGTGTGTGTGTGTGTGTGTGTGTGTGTGTGTGTGTGTGTGTGTGTGTGTGTGTGTGTGTGTGAGGTTCCTGCAGTCCAGCAGCTGTACAAACAAAGCCAGCTTGATAAAGCAGTAACCCGGCTGGGAGCAGCAGCTCGAGCTGTAATTATGGACATCTCTGTCAGGCTGAAGCTCTCATTGGGGGATCAGAAGAAATGACACAGAGCCCGAGCCATCTGCCGACCTTAGACAGAAAATATAAAGGCGCAGCAGCTGGAAGTGCTGGGGATCTGTCAGCCCGCTTATTTGTCTGAAGCGGTCAGAGGTGCGTGACCCGAGCAGGTCAGGACGCATGTAGGCTATCTCCATATGCAAACACGTGCTAACCCGGGTCTTACCTTGCTCTGTGAGGACGCGTCCTGACAGAAAAGCAGCAGCAGACAGGCCAACAGGCTCGCGTGCGTCCACATGTTTCCACTGGTGGCGGGAAAAGAAGGAAGCGCAGAAATCCACGGTGACCAAAGCAGAGCTGCGCTCATCTGAACTCCATCTCCTTCAGTGGTCAGGTTTCTGTGTGCTGTCAGTGTGTGTGTGTGTGTGTGTGTGTGTGTGTGTGTGTGTGTGTGTGTGTGTGTG